AGACCTATATAAAACACAAGAAAAAAATTCGTTATGATTTACCGAACGTATCAATAACTTTTTTTTAGAAAAAATAAAGAATTAGTCGTTAGATATGAATTAAACTAAATATGTTGACTCATAAACTGAATACGACTGTGATGGCCTAATTTTACTTGTTATAAGTTTACGAAAACAACTTATTGTCAAAAATTAATGTTCATTGTCGAAAATCGAAATTAGTCGAACACATCGCGAAAATCCTATATATAATAGTTGGGTTGTTCTCACAAGAGCTTGCCACATCATCATTCATTTTTTTGACACATCACCCTTTCTACATCAGCAAAAAATAACCGACCATTCAAAAAATATTTTCTCTCACTCACTTATGCCATTAAACTCACTTTGGTTTTTCCAACGTTCATGACAAAACGTTCCAAAGACCAAATTAAATTTCAATCCATTATTACTTTTTGATTCAAGAGAAAATCACTTCAAAAGCCATATGGCGTATATCATTTACGCAGCTATAAATTAGCAATTCAAAAATCAATTCTCATTCACAAGATTTCTTTCTGTCTTTGATCTTGGACCGCTACGTATCTATGTTCGAGTTCGGTTTACTCTAGATCCTAGCATTTGTTGTAAGTGACACTAGTGAAAGGGATGTCGCACCTTGAGATGGCTAGCATGGAGTCTTCGCTATTTTCGGTAACTGCGTCAAAGATCCGTTATTATTTTTGGTTCTTTGTCTATCTAAGACATTGACATCCTCTTATTTGTTTTAGAATATTCATTTAGATATATACCATCTGTTTCGTGTTAATTAATTGTTGCATTTCTCACCATTGTTACTTGAAAAGATTGGGATTCTCAGTGGCAGGTATATCAACACCTTGGAGGAAGTAAAAGACAAACATAGAAAGAAGAATTAGGGAGAAGAGGATACAAAGAATCTATGGGTCTTTGTGGTCGTAGGTTCAATTAGAGGTTTTTGTGTGGTTTTCATTGCCATATGCTACAATGAGATTGTTGCACTGAAAAACACAAATACAAAATGGAAAATGATATGAGTGCTTTAGCTTCAAAGTGAAAACAATAGACGTTTAATTTATTCACTAATAGTTCTTTTTATTTTTTTCTGTGAGGTTATGTGTATAACAAATGTAGATTCCATTGTAATGATAAAAAAGTTTTCATTGCTTCATATCTCACAACATGGTTTTATATGGTTAAAAACTTGGTGAATGAAAACTGAAGAAACTGTGTTAAAAAATTTGGAGAGTTTTGTAAGTTTAAAAACTATAGTTGCCAAACTCTAGAAGACACTCTCGGATGTAGAACATTATCATGAGTTCCAAGTTGACATTTTTGAAATTTTTATCTATATTTTCATGACGTCGATTTTGTGAAAAGATAATACAAAATAATATGGCAATGATAGTAGGATTTTCCGATGATACTGATGTTGGATTAGGGCAGCTCGCTTATCTTTTAAATCACAATTCTATATTTGGAAAAAGCCTCGCGTGTATACGCGGGTGTTCAACTAGTCCGGGATAATTACGAAATTTTGTTAAACTTTAACAGTACATTATAATAAAATTACGATAATGTAGGGTGCGAAGTTGGAAAATCAAGAAATTTAGGGGCCAAAACTATTTTCATAAAAAGTATGGGAAGCAACAAGAATATATACTAAAGATTTTTCCTTGTCCGAATTACCCCACTGACTTGTCCGAAGTCCGTCTTCCATCTACTCCATAAATTCGCCATTAAAACCCTT